TTTAACCCCCCCCCCCCCCCTAGGGAATGGCCTAAAGACACTTCAGTCAGTAGCACCGCCCCCGGGGGGTCATGGAAGTATAGTACACCCACCTTCTTTGGCCATCCCGACAGAGATGCACTTCTTGTAACGACACAGCTGGCACAGTTTGCCGCTGCCAATTTCAATGATGCAGTTGTTGCCAGCCTCACAGCGGTAGCCACTGTGCAGTCGAAGACTGCGGTGGAAGAAGCCCTATGGACCAGGGAAAGGCATGTTTAATGATGGGAAAGCATATTCAATGAGGGAAAGGATGTTCAATGACGGTAAAGTATAAGCATATTGAATGAAGGAAATGGTGTTCAAGGAGGGAAACGCACGTTTGCAGAGAGGTAGAGAATGTTCAACAAGGGTAACACAAGATCAATAAGGAAAACAGGATTTTCAATGGGGCGAAAAAGAAGCTCAACAAGGGAAAGAATGTTCAGCAAGGGAAAGAATGTTCAGTAAGGGAAAGAATGTTCAGTAAGGGAAAGAATGTTCAGCAAGGGAAAGAATGTTCAATAAGGGAAAAGGATGTTCAACGAGTTAAAATGATCTTCATTCCCCCTTATGTAAAACACTCTAAACATGCCAGAAGGAACCAAATCATCCATAAGAGAAAAATATTTTTAAAAGAAAAAAAAATATTATTATTATCAAAAACAAAATGCAAGCACGTATTTATATATTTTATCTAGTTAAGACGGAGTTCGATACATAAGCATGTGTGCGTTTATGTGTTTGTGTGTGTGTGTGTGTGTGTGTGTGTGTGTGTGTGTGTGTGTGTGTGTGTTTGTGTGTGTGCGTGTGTGTGTGCGTGTGTGTGTGTGCGTGTGTGTGTGCGTGTGCATGCGTGCGGGCGTACAAGAGTCGATATGAATTGTGAAAAGAAGCTACTTATCTAAAAGGCCACTCCGTCGAGGGCAGAATATGCTTAAATTTAGGCAAGATTGCTACACTATCATATGTGAGGCAGCGTGGCGAAATCAGGCGCTCGTCAAAATAAACGAAGTGAAGAAACTGGAATTTTTCCCGCTGGTTTGTAAATTTTTACTCAACTTTTTTTTTTTTGGCTTTACACCTTTCATGCACATTAAAAAACACCTTTCTGTGTGGATGTTACAGAAAAACGTTGATTAAAGGCACAAAAAGGGTACATTTTCAGTTTTCACGAACTCTCCAGCTAAGAAAATAACTAATCTTTGGCGGCCATTTTCTCACTAATTTTACCTCTGAAACCAGGTGACCCCACCTCTTTATTCGCAAATATCTCGACTTGTATTCAAGATAAATGGTGTTTTTTTTCCATCCCCCCCAAAACCCCCAACAAACTTTAAGATGATACTGATAACTCTACAAGCCCAAAATCTGAAGAGAGCCTGATTCCACTGTGTTGTGACACAAATCACAACCTCCAACGTACCTTGCACGCTTCGCACGTATTGGCACCGTAGTGGAACCCTGCGCCTGGCGCTTCGCACACGCGACACGGCGGAAGGTTACTCTTGAGGGCATCCTCCGGGTTGATGGCCTTGCGTTTTCGACCCATTCTGATGTGACGAGATGAGATAAGTCGATAAAAATTATGAGATGATGAGATTATGAGAAGAGTCAGGAGACACACATCAGCAACACAATATATATGTCTTTTATTTCAGTATTGTGGGGAAAAAAGACTGGCAGACAGAGAGAATAGACGGTGTGGTAGATCTTTACTCACCGGAGTTTTCTACTCGACTGCCGTGTAGGACAGTCGTGTCAGGTGGTGTTCTTAGTGTGAGCACTTCGCAAGTCCGTGCGAAGTCATGATCATGTCAGCTGCTGTGTTGTGAGTTAACTGAGTGTTCGGAGAGTCACTACATGGCCCCCCACCAGCGCTGACATGACAGGAGGTTCCAGAACCGGAGAGGTGGTCTCACGATACGTCCTGAACGTGAGACCTTCCAGCCTGCTTGTTGTGGTTCCTGTAGAGTAACAGGAGCGGATTGTACAGCTTGAGTAGACTGGGTTGAATTGTTAGTATTTGCGCTTGGATTCACAAGCGACGAAGACGGAGGTCGCCCACGTCTTGGAGCCTGAGCAAAGCGTACTGGTTGCAACAGATCCACAAAAGCTGGTTTAAGTCGGTCGACAGAGATGTGTTCCGCGTGACCACCTAGATCGACAAGAAAGGTTTTGTCCAGCCTTTCTAAAACCTTGTACGGACCAGTATACGGGCGCTGTAGGGGTTTTTGGTGAGCGTCGCAGCGGATGAACACGAACTTGGCTTTGTCTAGTGACGAATGGGTGTTGGAGGTAGGTGAACAGTGCAGTAATGTCGCCTTGGCTAGTTGTGACTGCATTTGGGATCGTAAGTTGGCGAGGCTCCGTGACTGGTCGAATGGTGAAGTGTCACTGGTAAAAAATTCGCCCGGTACTCTTGAGTGGTTCTCCATAAACTAGCTCAGCGACAGAAGTTCCCAGGTCCTCTTTTGGGGCAGTCCTCAAACCGAGCAGTACCCATCCCAGTTCATCGAGCCAGTTCGGGCCTTGGAGTCTTGCTTTGAGAGCACTCTTTAGGGACCGGTGGAATCGCTCAATTAATCCATTGGAATGAGGGTGATAGGCTGTTGTATGATGAAGATTGGTACCAAGGCGCTCGGCCATCTCTCTCCACAAGGCAGAAGTAAACTGAGGGCCTCTGTCGGATGTGATGTCGATGGGGATGCCAAAACGGGCGATCCAGTGATTGATCAGCGCACGGCCACATTCTGTTGTTGAGGTGTCCTTGAGTGGGATAGCCTCTGGCCATCGTGACGTTCTGTCGATGATTGTGAAGAGGTGAGTGAAGCCCTGAGATGGGGGTAAAGGACCTACAAGATCGACATGAACGTGACTGAACCTCTTTTCAGGCACGGAAATCTTCTCGATGGGTGCCTTAGTATGCTTTTGCACTTTGGAAGCTTGGCAGTCCGTACATTCCTTGGCCCACTTGCTGACTTCTTTCCTTAGCCCATGCCAAACAAATCTCTGGGATATCAGGCGGACTGTAGCCTTCCTTCCTGGGT